CTCCTGCCCTTTCTTGCCAAACCATTGGTCTGGCCTGGAACTTGTATTCAAGCACCTCTCTCTGTCCTGCTTTTAAGGAAAAGACCGCCCGCCAGAGGGCGGTATTGACTTATGTTTCTTCTTCCTAAGCACAGAAGCCGCCAAAAGTATGAACAGCACCCTCAGCTTGCGGAACACCCCAGCTAGAAGACTTCTACCAACCTCTCCCTGGGGCACAGACACCATCCCTGTGTCAACTCCCCAAATATCTCAAAACATGCTCTTGTGACTGTTGCTGTCTAGGCAGAGTAAGAGAACCAGGTAGGAGCTGGTTATGCTTATGGGAAGCCATTTGTAGAGAGTAGGGAAGCAACACCGAGCCTCTCACCTCATCTTGCAGATGAGGAAACTATAGTGCAAGAGTTTTAAACTAGTCCCTACCCTGATTCCCCATCACAACCCATTTCTACATCAAGAACCTCCTCAAAATCTGGGAAGTGATTGCTGTTTCGTGTGTAGAAAGGAGAACAAACCCATGGAGCAAACCCCCATCAAGGGCAAAGGCACAGGACAGGTAAAGTCCATGAACCCCTGCTAATATAATCACAGCTGGTAGGACCTCAGCGTCTCCCACTCCCTGGAGTCCCTGCATCCCAGATGGGAACTGGGTTTTACAATGTCTGCAAGCCCACTGTGTAGTCCTTGAAGCAACACTCAGAGGTAGTTGGATTTTTTTTTTCCTTTACCAACATAGAAATTGAGACCCAGAACCATCAGTCTGCTATCTGAGGTATCACAGTGAAACTCCAAGTCTAGCACCAGGGCCTGGTTTCTCCTCTCCCTGGGTGTGTGGCAGTTGATCTGCTTCAGCCCAGTGCACGGCCGGCAGCCAAGTTCTTTCTCACCTGTTTCCTCCGTGGTTATCCACCTGCCCTGAGCCTTTTGTCCCCAGCTCCGAGCAAGAAAACCAAATATTCATTCCACAATGTGGTCTGCAGAGCTAAGCGAACCATTGTGTGTAAAAATTCATAGTAGAGGGTCCCGTCCTCTTGGTAGCTGAATTGACATTAAGTCTCTAAAGATGCAAGATGACCATCTACCTCTCAAAGTCAAGGCCAGCTGTGCCTGCAGCTGGTCAGCTAGTCTAGTCTGGTGTCTGTGAGTTGGCCATCTCTGCAGAGCATGAGGTACCCCAGGCCTCTGGACCAGTCAAGACAACCGTGGAATGCCGGGAACATACACCAGACCCTTCCTCTCTCCCTCCAGGGGCATTGCTCCCAAATGGCCAAAGCAAACAGAGGAAGACACAATGCTGGGCCCTCTGCCCAGAGCCACCTCCTTTGTCATTGCCTGGCCTCCAGAACTGGCCACTGTCATTCATTCTCACTGTCTGCCCTTTTGACTGCGTCCAGGCTCTGTGCTTTCCGTGAATCCCATAATCTTTTCCTTCACTTGCCTTGAGGAGGATACCATTTGTGTCTCCACGTTACACATAAACAAAGTGAGGCCTTGTAAGATTAGGAAACTTGGCCCAGATCACACAACTACCAAATGGCAAAGCCGGGACCAATCCCAAGGACTGTGTTTGTAACGCTCTATTGTCTTGTCGCTTGTACGGCACGTGGGGCTCAGAACACGTGGGTGTTCTCACTCAAGAAGGTGTCTTTCTGTAGCGTATCAAATTAACTGCCTCTGTAGCCTTCCCTGGGACAGCTTAGTACTCCTCCTCCATCTTTATGTGTTTGTCTGCTTGTCTGTTCATACAATTAACCAGGACACGTTTCCTCAGATTTGAATTTCTCTTCTGGGAATTCTCGAAAGGTCTAAAAACAACTTCATCCACAAATGAGATGTTTGGGTCTTTCCCCAGAAGTCCCAGGCTTGGCCAGGCAGCTGCTGCTGTTTATCCCTTCTCAGTGCCTGGGCCAGGGTTTATGAAAATCTGAAATGGATTCCCCTGGTCTAAGGGCTCACCCTATGATGATGCACAGGGACTGTTTCCACCCTCTGCCCTCTGGGGACCAGACAGGGCCTCCTACAACAAGCCAGGTTTTTGAGGGGGCGTGGGGGAGAAACTGATCCATATGTAACTCAGGGGACTCAATTGTGCATGTCTCTAAAAATGTCTCCTAGCCAGGAGACTCCTCACAGGAACCCCATTATCTGCCAGTATCAGAGTCTGGCTGTGTGATCTGTGACACTGAACATGACCCCTGTCCGTTCCTTTCACTGAAATGCTTGTCCCTCTTCCCCTGGCCTCTGGCTGGCAAAACCACCAATTATCACACAAGGTGTAAGCTCCTGGAGGGTCCGATTGTGTACATCAAGTCCAGAGTGACCACCGTATAACGTCCATCACTGCCTCTCTGTGCCAAGCAAAATGATATACTTCACAACTATGTTGTGAGTTAAGGACTTGCCTTTTCCCACTTTCACCTGAGAAAATTGAGAATGGGAAGAGCTAAGTCACCTTTAAGGACCAGCCCGAGGAAAGCTAGGATTGGCAAGTGGGTCCACCAGAGCTCAGAACCTGTGTTTGCTGTGACCCTAAAACTGCTTCTTAATGGGTTCATGCCTGTGCGTGTTCCGGCATGTGTGCATGTGTGTATGCGTGTGTGCATGTGTGTTTGCGCATGCACACGGGTGACCATAGAGACCTGAGAGGGCACTGGATTCTGCAGAGCTGGAGTTACAGGTGGTCACAAGTTGCCCAGTGTGGGTGCTGGGAATTGAACTTGGGTTCTCTGAAGATCAAACACTCTGCCCTGATGAGCCATGCCTCCAGACCTCTTCTTTCTGATCTTTGACATTTCTCCCCAAAACAAAGCAATGGCATGCTTGCTTCTCAAACCACTTAAATTAGAAACTACACAAAACAAAACTCTCCATCCATAAAATTAATCTTTACATTCGTTTACCTTGTATTTGTGTGTGTGTGTGTGTGTGTGTGTGTGTGTGTGTGTGTATATATATATATATACATATATATGAAAATAGGTTTGGTTTCATTTTTACAAAACATGGTATTGAAGTCCGTTTCTCCAAGTTTCATTTAAATCCAGCCATATTTCCACCCCGACTAATATATAATTGTTCTTCTACAATCTACTTTTCATAACTGCATAAGGCCCAGGCGCTCGTAAACGAACCAAGCCCTCATTGCTGGCCACATGGTAGCAATGATTCGTTATGGTGATGTAATAAGCAAAGCCACGGTGGAGATTCAACACATCTCCGCTCTGTCTAGTACTGGAAAATGAACCCTGAAAAGTAGAGCTGCAAGATTAATTGTACAGCTTTTCACCCATAGTGCTGCATGCCCTTGGGGTGCATTTTGAAAATTCAGGGCTCCACCATCGGCTAGCTAAGGCTTCCTAGTTGAGAGACTAAACAAAACTGTGCTCGCTACTGTTTTAGTGTGCTGAAAAACCATGCCAAATTTACTTGTTTTGAACTTGGGGAGCTTTTAGAGTCTGAAGTTTAGACCCGGTTAGGGAAGCCCTTTCCCTGACTGTCCATGAAGGGCAGAAGCGGCTCCTTGGAATCTAGGGAAACCACTCCCACACAGTTCTCTCCTCACCAGGCACCCAGACATTGCACACGGAAGCAGCTCCGTGGTACTTACATTCAGCGTACGACCTGGTACAGCTGTCCAGGAGATCAGAATGAAGAGAAGGCCTAGGCAAGCAACCTCTCTTGGTGATGCCCGCAGCCTTGAAGAAACATGGCGTCTGCAGGAAGAGACGAGTAAGGAGAAGGAAGTGGCGCTGAAAGGCAGCGGGCAGTATTAGAGACAGCTTGCATCAATTTTCCTCCAGCTGACCCATCAGAGAGATGGTTCAGCTGTTTCCAGAACCTCATCAGGAAAGCACCGCCTGCCCCAGAGGAGCCCTCCAGCCACCGCCCCCCTCCCCCCAGCTCAGAGCCTGGTGTGTATGGACAACTTCAAAGCCTGGAGAGGGGGGCTCAGCAACTGCTTCCAACTGGGATCTACAATAGAACCCCAAGGGGAGACCTGCCCTGGCTGAGAAGCTAAGGGAAGGCTGGCCTGGCTGTAAGCATTGTTTCAGAAGCTGGAAGCCTGGGGAAAAGCATGGGCACCTGGGGGCCCTGGTGTTGCCCCAGCTCCCTCCATGCCAGAGGTCTCTGTACAACAACTTCCCCCAACATTAGAGCAACTGAAGATCTGGGGATACTGCTGTGCCTTAGAGCTAGAAATAAACTTGTATCGTGTCTCCCTAAAATCCAATTCCCGTCCTCTCTCTTCTGATGATGTCTTTAAGGAGCTTGCTCATCTTGGTGGCTGCCCAGGCCATGTCCACTGTAGCCTTCCCACTGCCTTCTGTGTGTGTGTGTGTGTGTGTGTGTGTGTGTGTGTGTGTGTGTGTGTGTTAGGAGCAGGAGGGGGCCGCATACGTCCTCTTCAGAAGCCAAGCTCCCCTCTGACTCTCTAGGCACTGGGGACCTCTTGGCAATTCCAGAAAATGCATCTTCCCTTCCAAAGCCCAAAGCATGAGCTGCTGATAATAGGAATGGGGGCGGGCATTGGTTAGAGAATGGGGGACAGAGGTGAAAGGGGAAATGAGGGTGGAGAGCAAGAAACAGGAGGGAATGGGAGACAGAGGCAGCAAAAGAACCAGATGTAGAGAAAGGGAAACAAAGTACGAAAAACAAGGAAACTGAATAAGCTGTAGAGACGACAGACAGGAGGGAGAAAGAGATGGAAAGTGAGGAGGGAGGAGAACTGAAAGGGAAAGAGAAAGGTAAGCTGGGATGCTGGGAAAATAAGCAGGAGAAGGATTGAAGGGAACCCTTGTCATTTGGGGTATCAGCTATAAGGAGTCTCCGGTAGGGTATCATTAGTGGAGACCAAGGCCACAGCCAGCAGGGAAAAGAGAGAGGGAGGCGGGTCCTGGCCTCTGCTGGCAGGTGGCCGCCCCTGGGTGGGGCCACCCAGCCAAGCCCTCGGGGTATAAGTCACAGGAGGCCAGGGCCAGCTGAACACCTGTCAGGGACAGCTCCAGAGAGCACAGGTGCAGCAGGTGGCTACCCGAACCCAGCCCCAGCATGAGTTCCTTCGACCTCCCGGCACCCTCGCCACCGCGATGCAGCCCCCAGTTCCCCAGCATCGGCCAGGAGCCCCCCGAGATGAATCTATACTATGAGAACTTCTTCCACACCCAGGGCATGCCCAGCCCTCAGCGCCCCCCCTCCTTCGAGGGTGGTGGAGAGTACGGGGCCACCCCTAATCCCTACCTCTGGCTCAATGGGCCAGCCATGACCCCACCACCCTACTTGCCTGGCACCAATGCCAGCCCCTTCCTGCCCCAGGCCTATGGCATGCAAAGGCAGCTACTGTCCAGCGACCTGGGCTGGCTACCTATCCCGTCTCAGGAGGAGCTCATGAAGCTGGTGCGCCCACCATATTCCTACTCAGCCCTCATTGCCATGGCCATCCATGGTGCGCCTGACCAGCGCCTCACGCTGAGCCAGATCTACCAGTACGTGGCCGACAACTTCCCCTTTTACAACAAGAGCAAGGCTGGCTGGCAGAACTCCATCCGACACAACCTGTCTCTCAACGACTGCTTCAAGAAGGTGCCCCGCGACGAGGACGACCCAGGTAAGACAGCAGTGCCTAAGGAGTAGGCGACCAGCCCTTGGAAGGCTGCAGCCATCCCTCAGGACTTAGTTCATTTCTTCTCCGAACTGTATTCTAGAAAGTTCTAACTACTGCCGCCACTCTATCCACAAAACTGGGAGCTGCTAGGAGACAGGGCTAAGAGGAACCCTGCAGGGGAAGGGGAGAATGTGGATTCTGGAAGCAGATGCAGGCTTCGGTGTCTCAGGGAAGTTGCATTTGCTGAACCTCGGTTTCCTTATTTGAATTCAAAGTTGTTTCTGCACAGTCTTTATTGTGGGGGGAAACTCAATATGCTGCAGTCATTATTATTCACATGAGCTCCAGTGGCCAGCACGGAAGTCCTTGGTAGGACTAGAACGAAGCAAGCCCAAGTGTGTCACAGCCACACCTGTGGCAGAGAGGACCTGGCCTTGGTTGGGCACCATTGATGGCCTCGTGGCATGCCTCTCTGCATGTCCTCCCCTCCACACAGAACTTCCTTTAATCCTAGCAGCACCCTGCAGGGGGCCTCTCAGTGAACCCATTGCTCAGATGAGGAAAACAACACTCAGGAGTGACGCTGCCTTCCCAAAGTGACAGATTGGAAAGGTAGAGATGGCACTTGACTTAAACCCAGTTTCCCCGCTGAGATTGGAATACTCCTTTGAAATGATGAGCCACAGACTTTACAGAGAGAAATGTAAAATATTCCTCAATCCAGGTTCCAGAATGGAAGCCTAGTTTGGTTCTCATACAGGAAGCCTAGGCTTGGAGCCCTACCTCTGCCCCTCTTTGAAGTCAGTCTTTGTCAGATCTGTTTGTCCCTCAGAAGAGAGCCTGTTCCATGCAAGGTGTTCCCCGCATTCCAGCTCAGAGTAGCAGGGAAGAGCCGGGGTTTCTCTTCTGGTGGCACCTCAGCTGTATGTCTCTTGGACACATGTAGTGTCTGTCATTTCCTACAGTGAGTCTAGGGAGATGGGAACTTTCCAGGCAAGAAAACTGAGATTTGGCCAAAGTCCTTTGTCACCGAGAAGCAGAGCCAGGGCTCAAGTCCATCTTAAGGGAAAAATCCAGAAGTCTAAAACTGTTTCTGGGCTTTTCCTGAATCTTAGTAAGAAATAGAGGCCCTAACCGGTACCACGCCCCTCTCTGGATCCCTGTACCCCGACACTTTACCCTTAAAGGGATCAACCTTGTAAACTCCTTCAGGCCCTACACTGCTTTTCTGTACACTCCCCAGAGCCTCTTGTGTGGGGAGTGGGGGGCATTTAGAGAGAGAAGGGTGTGCAGAAGAATACTTAGATAAAGGTAGGCGTGTGGGGTGTGATAGAGAGAGGTGATGGTAGGGTGAGCAAATGTTTGTGGAATTTCTCTACTTCTGCCTGGCTTTGTTCTTCTTTGCATTGTTGCCCTTGATTTTAGCTTAGGACATTGCAGACCAATAGAATGAGGCTTGTGTCCATCTCTCTGTTTTCTTAATGTCTCCCACTTTTGTCTCAGGCAAAGGGAACTACTGGACTCTGGATCCCAACTGTGAGAAGATGTTTGACAATGGAAACTTCCGCAGGAAGAGGAAGAGAAAATCAGATGCTTCCTCTAGCGCCGGCTCCTTGGTTTCAGAGAAAACAGAGAGCAGCCTCCTGGCAGGCAGTCCCAAGTCCACAGAGCCCCAGGACGTCTTAGACACGGCCTCGCCAGACACCACCAGCTCCCCAGAGAAGCGGTCCTCCCCTGCCCCGTCAGGCACCCCATGTCTCAACAACTTCCTCTCCACAATGACAGCCTATGTGAGTGGGACAAACCCCATGGGCCGCTCTGTGGCCACACCAGGACTGAACCCGGAGCCTGCTGACAAGATGGGGCAGAACTCACTGGGTTTCAACTCATACACCCCCCTCACCAACCTCAGTAGCCATGGGAGTGGGGGTGAATGGGCCAACCCGGTACCCACCAATGCTCTAGGCTATGGAGGCTCTGTCCTCAACCAGTTCAGCCCACATTTCTACAATAGCATTAACACTAACAGTGTGCTCTTCCCCAGGGAAGGCACCGAAGTCTAGGGACAGAACAGCTTCTGGCCCACAGAGCTGTCAAGGGGACAGTAATGGAGGTCCTCCAGACCAGACCCTCCACTAACCCCGACATCTGGGACACCTGAACTCCGCAGACAGCACAGGAAACTAGAAAGAGTCTGTATTCTTTCTAGAACACTGCCCAGTGCTTCTGATCATTGCATCTGAATCCACACAGATTTGATAACTACAGTGGGTGTACCAGTGTCAGCTTGCCACAGTGAAGCAGCCATTTGTTGAGCCCTTACTATGTTCTGGACCCTGTCAGGGGCTTTTAAATGACATGGCCCCACTATGTACAGTCATGCTTTGAAGTTCACATGACCCTCTCCACTTGACAGATCTTGACAGTAAGGCTTGAGAATGTTGTCAGCTTTTCCAGGGTCATGAAAATAAGAGAAAAAGATGTCAAAGCAGGGTCTGGGTAGCCTTCAAAGACTGGACCAGAGAAAGCAGTGATGGAGGAACCGGTGGAGAGGATCTGCAAAAGAAACTGGTTATGGCTAGGTATATGGTTATACCTCCCCAGTGCCTTCTGGTTACCCATCAGAATTCTGTGCCAACTTTGGCATGACTCATCCCCACCTGTTCTTCCTCTTCTTGCCCCAGCTTATGCAGGCACTCCTTTAGCTACCACTCAAGAGGGCAAGCCAACAAACAGCAGGATGCCCAGCGAAATGCCCCCCTGGGACAGTACCTCTAGTAGATACAATATGGGGGTCTCAGTTTCCTGGCCCCCCTCAGAACATGAGCAGAGCCAGAGGTCAGTGCGAAGATTGGTATATACCCCTAAACCCCCACCCAGCCCAGCACCTCCGACCCACAAAATCTTGTAAAACCCTGCTTCCTGTGTGTGTATGTCATGGACCAGTGAACAAGATATGGCTCGGACTTTCAGAGAAACAAGGCCAAATAAGCAGAATAAGCATGTCTCTTTTATAGCCATGGAGAGGTGGACACTTGTCTGAGGAAACAATGGCCTTGAAGGAGGCCCTCTTCCCTCGGAGGGCAGGGAGGCTGTGAGGACAGCCTCTGGGACTGTTCTCCCTTGGTTTTGTAAGTTACTTTGTATAACTGTGGTATCTTATCACAGTATAGCCTCAGAAGTGTTGTTTGCTTTTCTTATTTCTCTTGAATTAAAAAGAAGAAATAAAGAAAGCTGTTCAGAAGTGTGTGGCCCTTCCTTGAGAGTTGTCCTGTTTCTCAGTTGAAACCTGAGGCTGAAGATGCTTGGGGCAGGAAACAGAGAAGAATGGGTATCAAGACTTTCCCGTGGCTACATTGCCTTGAAGCTAGTCAGAAGCCCCCAGGGTAAAGACAACAGGGTTACAGGGATGGGATAGATCACATACAACCTGGATATGGACATAGCCCAGCTTCACAGCTCATGTAAACCTCATGATTGTGCTGTGAGCATGCACAGTCATGTGAAGGGCACAGCTCGTACAGTCAGGTGAAAACGCAGGGCCAAGGGGGTGGAGCCTGAAGTACACATGGGCATCCTGCCCAGGTCCCTCTGGTGTCTGCACTCATCACTCATAAGCCGTGGCCTCTGCTAGTACAGCAGGCCTGTTTTCCCTGGTGACATCCTATAGTCCATGGCACTGAACATGGTAACATGTGTGCATTGAAGCTGGAGGTTTTCTACTTGAGGGTTTCTTCCCTGATTGAGAAGAGAAAGGGCTCAAGTCAGGGGTAGCTGGGTGAATTCTTTTTCTCTAAAGTGGCAAAAGGGAGCTGTTGAGCCACAGTAATGCTATGATGATCAGTACATCCACCCTGGGTTTTCTGGATGCTGGGCTCTGTTTTTGGACTTGACCTTCTTTTTGTGTTTTATCTATAAAACCATCTAATGCTGCAGTCCCTTGATTTCCATGTTATTGGTGAGAACACCAAATCCCTGAGAAATTCTGCAGTCCTGGGAGCCACATATCCAGGATTCAAAGGCTATATGGAAGACACTGAGAGAGGTCTTTTCAATCGCTGTTAACAGAGAGCACAGTACTTGGTGCAAGAACACACAGTCGTGAAAGCCAGAAGCAGTGGCAGGCACATTCTTCTACAGTGAGACTCGCTGCTCATGTGTGGCAGTGGCTGAGGAGAGGGGAAGGAACACCATGTCTGACCTACAAAGTCAGAATAAGCTGTCCCTTGCTGCCTGCTGCTGGAAGGACCAGGGACTCTGCCTCTGGGGCAATGGAAATGGAGGCAGAGTTAAAATATAGATCCCTGAAACCAAACCAGGATTATTTTTGGTCACACTACAATGCCACTATCCCCAGATTTGCCCAGATCCCAGAGACCCACCCTCACCATTGCTATCTCACTGCCTGCTCCCATCCTCAACGTCTTCCGCATACAGAGATGCAATGAGTTAGGGGACTGGGCAAGGACAGAGATGGGAAGGGGCCCAAAGAAAGCCAAACCACCCCAGAGGGGAGCCAGAAACTTCAAACCAAACTCCATAACTTGATCCTCTAGTTTTCTTTGACTCAAAATTGAACAGGGGCAGCACCAGAGAAGTCTGGGATTCCAATACTGTAGAGACCCTGACAGCTCTCGCCCGAGTCTGTGCAGGGGAATCTCTGAGTAGCATCTGGGGGTTCACAGGAAAAGGAGGCCCATGGCTGGGCGCAGGAGAAGGAGGGAAGCCAGTAAAAAGATCTTCGCTGTTCAACCTTAATAGATGCTGCAAGTTGGAGAGAGGGAAGCTGGCAAGAAGGAATAAGGAATGAAGACAAGAATTAATTGGCCTAGCAAGGTTCTAAATATACTTAATTCATCAGGCGTCCATGCTGTGGCTCTGAAAGCATACTCCAGCATCAATAAGAATCTAAGAGGAAGGCTGCCCATAGTGGAGGGACCAAGAAGGCCGCATAGAGAGGTGAGACACACCAGGGATTTATACAGTCACCTTCACTCCACCTATCCTCAGTTAGAAGGCCCACATTTCCAATATGGAGATTGTGGTGGGGGGGGGAACACCTCAAAGCAGACTACATAGTATAGATTACATAACATGTTATATACATATACAACAATCTTGCTTCTTTTGATGGGTAAATTTTCAAGGAGGTAAAAGTCAGAAAATGCTAACCACAACTGTCCCAGGCACTTTCTGGTGGGTGGTGAAATATAAGGTAGATCTTTCCCTGGGTCATACAGCATATCTTCATGTTTAGTGACTAGACTGTCTGCCCAGGTCACTCTTTTTAGAAACCTCCTCCAGTGAAAGGAGCCCAAGGGACTTGCTATGTTGATGCATGGCCCCTCGAGTAGCACCTGACCAGGCCCATTTCCACTGATGGGGGAGGAATGGGTTTCCTTAGCTCAGGCATGGCCTTTGTGAAGACACAATGGGGTTACATTATAATGAAAGGGAATTGATGTAAGGCCAGCAGCTTATATAAAACATGTCCCCACCAAAATCTTGTTTGTTGCAAGGTCAAAGCCAAACAAATGGGAGTTTGGTGTGGGCTTCAGCTAGGTAAAGCTGGCATTGGTATCCCTGGCAGATGAGACAGATCTGTATGCAGGACTGGAGAAACCATGATGGGGCATATGGAGAGAAAAACTGGTCAATAGAAGAATCACGTGGGAGTCATAGCTGTATGGGAATATGCTGGCATGTGTTGAAGTCGTAGCTGCATGGGAACACGCTGGCATGTGGCTAGTACTTCCAGTCGCATTATCCCTGAGCAGCTGCTGCTGTTACTGTCTCCATTCAGCCCCGAACACACAGTGGCACAAAAACGTTTTGAAAATCCATCAGGATATCAAACAGCGTTCTGTATAATCGAGACCTAGGGCTTGTATGCCCCCTTGGAAATAGGCATTGGGACCTGGTGATGGGCGATCTAGAAAGAAATTTCTAAGCTAAGGGAACATGGTGACACAGTATCTGGGTCAGGAGGGTCGTGTTGGCCTGAATACTACTGGAGGTCCCAGCTTTGTCCTCGTGAAGGGCTTAGCTCAGACTCTTACCCTGATCAGACTTTGTCCCCCTCTCTTGCTTCATCTTCCTCCCTGGAGGAGGGAGCCTCGAGTGGTACCTGCCATAAAAGAGAAGTAAGTGTTGAGGATGCATTCTCTTTCCAGCCCAGGTAGAGGCTGTATAGTAGAGGTACCAACAACTACCATTCCCTGTGAACTGAGTGCTTCTTCCAGACCAAACAGGGCCACTGTGGAGCCCAAGATCATTATTTCATTTGGTTCAGAGGCAAACTAGCACTCAGAGAAGTGAGGTGAACTTTCCAAGTTCACACAGCTACTAAGCATGGCAGGCAGAAGAACTCAAAGAGAGATGAGGCCAGCTCTAAGGTCCATGGTCTTTACCTAAGTACGAGGGGAGCCCCTGGGACAGGGAACTGGGAGAAAAGTCTACTTACAGGGAACAGAGATGCCTCCTTCCCCTCTCCTCCCGATTCTGTAGACTGTTTCTTCCCCATGTGCTCTGAAACAACCATATGAAGAACCATGTCCTAAGCAAGTTGCTGTTCCAACTCAGACCACCACCATTTCTACATCCTCTTGATCAACAACAGCATCCCTGCCTCCACCCTGTCCTTTCCAGGTGTAGCGCTACCCTCTTAAGGGGCTGCGGTGACCTTTGCACTCCTCAGGTCCTGTGATGGTTAATTTTGATGGTCAACTTGGATTATTAAATGCTAGTGGGGTTAGTAAGGCACACCTCTGCATGTGCCTGTGAGGGACAATCTAGAGACAATTGGGTCCCGAGGGCACTGACTTCTTGAATTCATTGATCCTTTGATGGATTCCTAATCTGATGGCATTTATCGGGAGATGGTAAGGAGCAGGAAGCAGAGAAAGTAGGTGACTAGTGGCATGTCTCTGAGAACATATTTTGCCCTGGCTCTTTCCTATCCATGCCCTTTTTCTCGGCCTCCTGCCTGCAATGATGTGAGCTGCTCCTCGCTAAGCCCTCACCCCAGCCATCATTGACTGACACTCGGAAACCGTGAGCCAAG